GGGTTGAATCACAGAGGCGGCCCATTAAAGCCCTATTCTCGGTACGAACAGTGTACGAAAATGTGCGCCACTACCTTAGGCGAATGCTTCCGGCCCTGTTCAAGACCTTATACTCAAGACGTAGAGCCCTTTAAAGAAAGGCCGAGCTCGAAGCGCGGCTCGAGCGCGAGCGTCTGGAGAGAGAGCGACGGCGCCTGGAGGAGACCCGCTGTTGTTGGGAGCTGCTTTGAGGGATTCGGAGGTGTTGTGGGATTTCGGGATGGCTTTCGAGTGTGTTAGCAAGGGTTCTCATAGGGTGTGTGCTTTAGGAGTTGGGGGTTGGATGTCTGGGGTTTTGGTTTAAGGATGGGACTTGCCTTGGCAGGATTTCTGAAGCTCGGTCAGTGGTGGTTGTAGAGCAGAAGGTTGAGGCCCCCCTGCCATGCCTGGGCCTAGGCGAATATGATGGGTTTTGTTATGGCTACAGTTTGTTTTGTTCCTGCTCTTGCGATTCGTGGCGTTATTGTCTCATCACCGTCTTTCGTACTTCACGGACGTGATAAGCCCTAGCGGAGTCTTCTGCGCACGGCTTCCAGGGTGGGTACCCCTCTGAGATGCTCAGCTGAAAGGAGGAGGCTCGGATCCGAGCCGAGCAGGAGAAGCAGGCGAGGATCCGAGAAAAGCTTCGCCAGATCAGTCCCTGCCCCGCCGGCTTCAGCTGGCCGCTTGGCTTCTGCCGGGTAAGAGAGGGTCGAAAGTCCGTGGGCTCCTCAGGGTACTTATGCGTTGACACCCGAGGACGGAGTTCTAAGGCCACTATGTAACACTCAGATAGAAACGTGGAGAGCGTGGAGGGCTGTAAGCGGCTACAGACCAGAAAGTCTTCCTGCTGTGTTTAGGAAGTTTTCGTCAGAGGCAGGATCACACAGTGTCAGCAGAGGTACAAGACTGGAGGAGGTTGGCGTTGTGGCGGCGGCAGCCACTTCGTGTCGGACTCGCAGCCGCTTGGAAAGCAGAGGAGAAGGGAGCTTTCTAAAAAAAAGCACTCTAAAACTCTACACTAACTTACACAAGCTCTACGTGCCTGACCAGCTGCCGCAGCCACAGCTACAGGCTCAATGCGCACTTCACACACTGATCGTGGCCCTGAGCCGGCGGCACACATTTATGAGGTGGCATGTGTGGCACCAGCATACAGGCAATGGACGTCCATATAAACATGGGCTGTCATCATCTTGCCTCGTATGGCATATCTTGATGGAAGAGCGTATGTTGCTTCTCATCTTTGGAAGCACGCGCAACTTTGTAGGTTCTTTTTTGTTGAGAGCTACCTGCAGTTCAGCAGGGTTTCATGTCCGGTCACAAGGCAACGTTTCCGGATGGCTGTGAAGTTGCTTGAGGGAGCCCTTGCGGGTGAGCTCGGCCATTTCGACAGCTTCGCGTTTCTTTTCCAGGTGTGTTTAGTTCGTCCTAGAGGCAGAAGCCCCGTCGATGGATTCTGCTGTAGCTTGAGGGAGCCCATGTGGGTGAGCTCGGCCTGTCTTCCCGTCCGGTCACAAGTCGTAAGGCAAGGTTTCCGGATGTGGCTACTCAGCCAGTACCCAGCCATCGACAGGACAGAGATGGCATGTGTGTTTCAAAAGGTTCCGGCTTCCTAAGACCCTGAACCCTAAGACCTAAGCCTTGAGCCTTAAACCCTAAGCCCTCAACCCCTACATCCAGTCGAGTGAGGCCTACGAGATTGGAAGCCAACAGTGTGGCCAGCTAGGTTCCGTCACCTTTGAGGGACGCAGCTTTGCACACCCGTGCCATACTCAAGCACAACCTGAAGAGCTGCTCTGTCATCACCGTCAGTGCAAAGACCCAGTCCGAAGTACCAGAGTTGACGCATCGCCGGAGCAGGATTTACCGCTAGACAGTTCAGCCATGGATCCAGCAGCCGATAGTGCGATTGGGCGAAGCACTTGCACGCAGTCGCCGCTTCTCTGCTGAGATGAGTTAGACAGTTCGTCATGCTTGTTTTGAGCCGTTTCGGGGGGAAGGGGTTCCGAGTGTGGATCGGCATCCGCCAACCTAGCAACTGTCCTAACCCTGTGTTCGTCGATGCGGTCATGCATATGGCTAGACATGACGATATGGAAAAAACACTTCACCTGGCATGACTCCAACTGCCACCTAGAGGATTGTCAGACAAACTGTGCTGCCGTGTCTTTGAGCGCTGCACCAAGGCAGGCGACGATCTCGAAAGCCTTCGTTCTTGGCATCGCGGAGTACGCGCGCTGGGGAAGGTTGCCAGGTGCAGGGGCGGATGCGAAAGAGGCAAGCAACTTCCTTGATGATATGGGCCGCAGAGAAGACACCACAGTTCTAAGTGGTGAGGTGACGCAGGAGAGCTTGTGTCAAGAGCTGACGACATGGGTTCGGGACATTCTCAAGGCGACAGACGGTCACGAGCGGCCGGCTCTTATTGGCTTCTTCAGTTGCCATAGCATGATGAATGCGAATGGTTGGCCCCCCTGCTTGCATCCGATGCCCCACGGAAAGAGCATGTTTCTGGACTGTAGTTTGACATTGAAGAACAGCTAATTGCACCGATCAACAAGATCCACCTGACAGGGAATGTAAGCTGCGTGTGATCTTGATTTTTGATTGTTGCCTGTCTCCATTTCCTGGTGCCGTACATGACACCTGGACGAGTAGGGGGCCTGCTGCTGCCCCTCCCAGTGACCATGACTTCTACTTCCTCCTTGCTTGTGATCCTGGCCTTGAAGCAGCAGAGAGACCCAATGGGGGTGCCTTAATGGAAGAATTGATGCCTGGCGTGCGGCAGCAGCTGCCCATTGATCAAATCTTCAATGAGGTTGCGGAAGTCCCAAGTCGCACGCCTTCGCAAGTCGCAGCGACCCTGGACCATGTACCGCCTGTCCGAGGCTGGCCCTTGTCCTAGCTCGGCCGGTGGTCATCCTTCTTGTGGGTGAGACAGGCTCTGGAAAGAGTACACTGGGCAACGCGCTCTTGGGGAGGACGAGCTTTAAAGTGTCACGCAGCATGGTCTCCGAGACGTCTGGGTTACAGCATGCCGATGCAAAGATTGGAAGCCAGACTCTGAGAGTCTATGACACTCAAGGCTTTGGAGACAATCGCGATGGGCAAGTGATTGGCGAACTGTTTCCAGCCTCCGGGGGAGTCGATGCCATCCTCTTCGTGATGCGGTTTGGCCGCTTCACCGCGCATGATCTAGGATTGCTGGATCAGTTCCAGGAGAAAACGCAGACACCGCCCGAGCGCATGCTGCTAGTCTTCTCACAAGCCGATGAGAAGGCCGATCTTTCGCCAGAGCTGTTTAGGGAGGAGGTGGAGGAGTTGTCGGAGCAATGTGTTCCCCTGCGATCTGCGCTCACACAAGTTGCTGGCATAATGGCGACGGAGTGCGGCTTCGTTGAAGGGCAACAAAATGCTCGAGACCGTGTTTGGAAGTGGATTCACAGCCATCCGCCAGCAGACAATCTGAAAAGGAAGCTGCACGTCCCCGAAGCTTTGACAGCGGGGGTGGCCGAAGACGGCCTTCGAAAGAACACATCGTTTCCAGCTGTCGGCGTGCGGGGGCCAGCTCACAAGGATGCTCTCCCTAAACAGCACGCTGCCAAGGAGAGGTTGTCACCAGAAGATCAGACACCTCTGGAGCAGTTGGTTTCGAAACCTGCAGACAGCTCCTTGAGGCCAGGCCGGGAAGACTTGATGCAACGTGTGACACAAGGCTTCAAGGCCGTGGGCGACGCTTTCGCAGATATGGGCGAGGTCCGGCAGAATGTTCCGATGCGGATGTTCGTGTCGGCCTGGGGAGCAGGGGTTGACGTGTTGAGTGAACGTCATCAAAACCAGGCAGAACCGGAACGAAAGCATAAGCAAGCTTCAGGCTGCCAGTATATGATGGAGCTCAAAGAGTTGGTGGCCATGGGTTTCAGGGAGGGCGATGCCCAAAGCGCGTTGCAAGCAACGGGGGGGAATGTCCAAGCAGCTGCAAACAGACTCTTGGGTTAGCGGACGCTTTCTGAGATCGCAATCCCAAGCAAAAGGTCCTCCGAAAGTCAGAGTTCAGCACGCCTCGGTTGAACCAGCCTTTGAGCCTTCTTCCCCCAGGCATCCTCCGTCGCTTGGCTTAGGTCTGAAACTGAAGCGGGCCAGAGTGAGGATGGTGAAAAGCAATGGTACTGGTAACAACCGGACTCATCATACATACACATACATGCACGCACGCATACATACACTTCACGGTTTGGCTCGCCCTGAGGCCCGAGGGAGTTCAACGAAGAGGGTCTTCGAAACAGACAGAAGCGGTAGTAGCAGAGGGTAGGCAGCAAGGGTTTTTAACAAGCCCTCCTCACCTGCCGCCATGGTGAGATTGGAGTCTGTATCGGGGAGGCGGGGTCGAAGCCTCGAATGCTTGTAGCACCCGAGAGGTCCCCAAACTCTTTTTCAAATCCTCAGATCCTCCTTCCCCAAAGGCCAAACCCGGTACACCCAAGACCCCACAGACCCAAAATCCCAAATCCCAAAGCTCCAAACCATGTGTAAACCCCACCAGAGCGCCAAAAGCACCCAAATCCGAGCCAGGTCCATGTGCGGACTGCTGCTTGAGAGGAGGCTGCGCCTTCCCTGACGCTTTCCTCCCAGGCTCGGCACGGGGCTGTACTTATGAGGATTTGCCGGGTGTTTGGTAGAGGTTCTCGGATGTGGGTTCAATCAGAGGTTCCACACCGAGCCGAGTGGGATCTACATTACCTGACATAGAACTCCAAATAAGGATCATGTTATTCCAGGGTCCGTATTCAGTAGCCACGTCCTTTTCAGGCTCCCGAAAAGCTATTGTCGCTCCTCCTGATCTGTTCGCGTGACTGCGTCTGCTTTTGGATCATGATGATGTGGAGGAGGACGTCGTGTTTTATGTTTAGCATCTTCAGGGGTGGCTCAGGTGGACACATCTGACAGCATCAAATCATGAGCATTCTCGCTCCAGGGGGAACAAGCAACTGCAGTCTTCATGCTTGTGCACAGCCGTCGGGCCTCACGGTTCAAACCAAAAATACCCTGAACCATTGCCATAGCCCCAACAAACCTTGGCCTGAAATCAAAGAGTCAGAAAAGCTGTGAGTGGTCCAGGAATTTCTGCGGCAGCGAAGCTGGTCGGAGTTGCGACGAGGGCTCTTCAGCTTGGGTGCATCTTGCTCTTGAAGCTCTCCAGTGCTCTTGAATTCTCAGGTCGGTTGGGCAAAGGAGCATGGGCTTCCGGGGGCCCCATGTCCTTGGCCTTGCATGGAAGAATATGCCCTGTATGAAGGAAGGTCCGATCTGAGTGAAGGGAGCAGGAGGGGTGCCGTCGGTGTTTGGCTTTCTGCATTCCGATTGTGGGCCGAATGCAGCTAAGGCGACGGATTTCCTGTCTAAACGGGGGTCAAGGGAGAGCTGTTGTAAAGAAGGGGCTTTGCCTCTCCCCAGTAGGAGATCTCCGGAAGATGCCTCGACCGGGCCCGGGGTCCTCGTTCAGGAGGGGCCCGGGGGGGTGCCCCCTGCAAGTTGAACATCCAACAGGAGCTGCGCGCATGAGCTGCAAGCGCTCTTCGCTTGAAGGGGATGGGTCGAGTTGCTGGTCGTAAGGACTGGCCGGGAGTTTCTTCATGACACCCCAGCCTGCGGCCAGAGTTTTTGAGTGCTCGAAGTCAGGTCATGCCCGGAAGTCCAGGGTGTGATCTGCAGCTTCTCGGTTTGCCAGGGGCCAGCCTTTCCTGCCCCCATGACCTTGCACATGCTGGATCCGCGGTGCAGCCTTCGCACCGGATTCACCAAAGCAAGGGCTGTGCACATTCAAAACCCTAAAGCCTAAAGCCTACGTCCGAAAGTATTTGCGAGTTCCCAGATGTCGCAATCTTGGTCAGCGTTTGAGGGATTGGCTCCACGGAGCCTCAAAATCTTTCGTGGTGCTCCGGTGGCCCCCAATCCTGTAAC